ATCTCAGTCTACATTACCGCAGAACACATTTCCATTTCAATTCTAAGCCTGTTAATTCAGAAATAAGTCCCACTGAGTTAAATGGGTCTTACTTTCTGCCACAGCAGAGGGGTTCTTATTTGGCCTGCAAGGCTGATTTCCTCAAGCTGCGCTGCCCCCCCCCCCCCCCGCGTCAAGGTAGAGATGTGGCTGCAAAGGAGCAGACTCATTTTCTGCAGTCCCATGCAGTTTGGATGCTGCAATAGAGAGACGCATAGGGTAGGGTAAGCATCATGTTTGTCTGGGTCTCCTCCTCCGAAGGGGGCCGGGGGGAGATGACGAGAGCCAAAGACAGCAGTTGGGGCATGAGAGAGTGCTCTAGATGCTTCCGAGCACAATTCAAAGTGTTGGTGCTGACCTTTAAAGCCCTAAATGGCCTCGGTCCAGTATATCTGAAGGAGCGTCTCCACCCCCATTGTTCTGCCCAGACACTGAGGTCCAACTCCGAGGGCCTTCTGGCGGTTCCCTTGCTGCGAGAAGCCAAGTTACAGGGAACCAGGCAGAGGGCCTTCTCGGTAGTGGCGCCCGCACTGTGGAACGCCCTCCCACCAGATGTCAAAGAGAAAAATAACTACCAAACTTTTAGAAGACATCTGAAGGCAGCCCTGTTTAGAGAAGCTTTTAATGTTTAATAGGTTATTGTATTTTAGTGTTTTATTGGAAGCCGCCCAGTGTGGCTGGGGAAACCTAGCCAGATGGGCGGGGTATAAATAATAAATTATTATTATTATTATTATTATTATTATTATTATTAATCCGCGGGTTGCACAGTGGTTGAAATCACTGAGCTTCTTGGGCTTGACCATCAGAAGGTTGGCGGTTCAAATCCCCGCGACGGAGCGAACTCCGGTGCTCAGTCTCAGCTCCTGCCAACCTAGCAGTTCGAAAGCACGTCAGTGCAAGTAGATAAATACCGGTAGGTACTGCTACGGTGGGAAAGTATACAGTGTTTCTGAGCACTCTGGCTTCTGTTACGGTGTTCCATTGCACCAGAAGCAGTTTAGTCGTGCTGGCCACATGACCCGGAAAGCGGTCTGTGAACAAACGCTAGCTCCCTTGGCCTGAAGCGAGATGAGCGCTGCAACCCCATAGTCGCCTTTGACTGGACTTAAACATCAAGGAGTCCTTTACCTTTTACCTCTAGATGCTGCCGCATCAACAGGCTCACTTCCAAACCACTGGCAGCTTCCCAGCTGCCCTTTTCCCATCTCTGGCTAAAGGCAGCGAGCCCATGCCGAACTGCTCTTTGTAGATATTGACTGATGATAATAAAGGAAAAGGATTTATTGTTGGCACAAGCTTTTATAAACTGTGCCGTCATAAATCGGCTAGTCTTTAAGGTGTCACAGCCTCCCAGTTGTTTTTGGCTGCTTCAGGGAAGCACGGCTAGTGCACTGGAAATAAATGGAAAGCACCCTGAGTGGGTCAAAAGGATCTTTCATTCAAGTAAGCCCAGGGGTCCAGGAGTTGGGTGGGTGGGGTGAATTACCTGTAGGGACAAGGCTGGGCTCCCCCCCGTCACCTCCACCACCTCCTGGTGCCCACCTCCTCATTCCCTTGAGGCTGGAATGGAACAGAATCCGGAAATGCAAAAATGGTTCAGTGGTTCTTTTGAGTATGGTAAGAAAGGGATTCCTTCTTTTTTCATCTCCATCCTTCAGAGAGCTGGACTAAAGAGACTATGAGTCAGATCCAGACAACTTGGAGATGGCCTACTGAGATCAGTGGAGCTTAAAATAGTCACAAATGGCTCATGATGAACCTCTGATTTTTTTCTTCCCCAAGTCAGAAATATTTGTCTACTTCAGGTAATGTCCTAGAACTACAGGAATTCAGGAAGCAAGAGACCAAGAAACACCCTCCTCCCACCGAACATATTGGTTTCTACCAGAAGACTTTGATTAATGAACCTCACCTCAGGAAAATTGAAAATAAGAATACAGTGGTACCTTGGTTGACAAACTTAATCCGTTCCGGAAGTCCGTTCTTAAACCAAAACCATTCTTAAACCGAGGCACGCTGTCCCTAAACCGAGGCATGCTGTCCTACAGCCAGTGCCCTTCCACCGTTCAGATTCCATTCTTAGACCAAGGTAAAGTTCTCAAACCAAGACACTATTTCTGGTTTTGTGGAGTTTGTAGACCAAATTGTTCTTAAACTGGACTGTTTTTAAACCGAGGTACCACTGTATAAGGGCAAGAGCCAGCAGTCAGCCAGGTTGGGTACCTGTCAACAATGTCTAGGCAACACGATGACCATATACATATGTAATAGACAATCTTTATAGAATAGGTACCTGGCCTGGTCCTGCTGTCACTCACCACCCTCTCTGCTGGACCTCTGGGGTATTTCAGCCCTAGATGGGTGTCACTGCTGCTTTTGAATGGAAGGCAAGCTTGACTCCTATCTGTGGTGGCCGCCTACCATTGTATAATTACCCAAGATGCATTGTCCTTAAAGAGGGGTCTACAAAATCTATTGTTCTGGTCCTATTGGAAGAGTAGATCGATAAAATTAATATGGAGATTTTATACATTTATTGGCCAGGGCAGTAGATTTGGGATAATTCAGCACGGCAGGGAGCAACGCAGATGGCTCCCATGGAAAAGCAGGAACAACACCCATCTATCCCTAAAATAAGCACCCAGGGACCTCCTGGCAAGTGTGGGGAGTGGTGGCACCAGTCGAGAAGCCCTTGGGCACAGTCTGACCTACAACCACTGGCACAGCCTGAGAGAGACATGCATGTAGCCCATGGCTGCAAGAGAATGCGACCTTTAAGTTGAAAACATTTCCCTTGCCCTGTGCCAGATAAAAATGGTGTAATTAACCTCAAGTGAACCCAGTTTTTTAATGATTCAACTCACAGCCCCCTATATTTGTTCTTCATCTTCTTTGCATACGATTGGAACATCCCTCCTCCCTTCCTTACCTTTTGTGAAATGTTGTGTCTGATTTTTATTTTTTTATTTGACAATGAAGCTGATTGAAATCTGATTAGAGTTTTCCCGGGGTGTCTGAAGGGTGAAGGTTGCAATGGACCAACACATCTCCGTGTAGATTTGGCTAGTTCTCCGCGTACACCTGCCTCGAAAAGAGCCAAGGGAAATCCTGCTGAAATTCAGCAGGGAGCTGTTGAAAAGCTGCCTTGGCTGAATTATAGACACACTGAGTCACATGTATTGTTGCTCTGAATTTGGCCAGCTTGATCACTGCGAACGGGTGGTCAGGGAGCTGACAAACACATTAATATTTTGTAATGCTTGTGCATTGTTTCCTGAAGGGGCAATTCACCTGCAGGAGGAGAGTCGAAGATCATTGCTCTGCATGTTTGCGTCTTGGGGGGGAAAAAGCCAATTTGCAGTTTGATCTTCATGAAAGGGAGCGTCTGGGAGCTGAGAGTTGCTAGCTTGTCTTAGCTGGAAACTGTGGGGAGGTCTGTACACAGAGGCTCTGCTTAAATTTGCAATGCTCAAAAGATCCTGTAAGTTTCCAATGCTCTCTGTTCCAAAGAAAACTAAGCTCTTGTCCGCAGTGGAGTTTAATGTGGATTTGAAGCCGATTCCTTTTTCTCTCCCTTTGCAGAATCCTCACCAGGTTCTCCTTTTCCAAGTGGCAGCCTGCACTTCCCCTCCTCTATTCAGATTTCCCAGATCTGCAGATAATCCAATAAGAGAAGAAGCAAAGGTTTCCTGGAGCAGCAGCCTCTGCTTGCAAAGCTCTGTGTCACTCTGCCTCTCGCTGTGTGTTTAAGGCTTCTCTTGGCTTATTTTCACCTCTAGAACGTGTGGAGGCTGCAGAGGAGGGCTTCTGACATTTAGGGTTCTGTCACTGAAGGGTGGTATACAAATTTAATAAATAATAATCATCTGCCCATCCCATGGAATTAAAACATCATAAGCTTCATATATTGGAGCTCTCGGGGTGTGTGTGTGAGGGGTTATGTCAGGGGTAGGCAACCTAAGGCCCGTGAGCTGGATGCGGCCCAATCGCCTTCTCAATCCGGCTCGCAGACGGTCCAGGAATCAGTGTGTTTTTACATGAGTAGAATGTGCCCTTTTATTTAAAACACATCTCTGGGTTATTTGTGGGACCTGCCTGGTGTTTTTACATGAGTAGAATGTGTGCTTTTATTTAAAATGCATCTCTGGGTTATTTGTGGGGCATAGGAATTCGTTCATATTTTTTTCCAAAATATGGTCCAGTCTACCACATGGGCTGGGGGATGGTGGACCGGCTCACAGCTGAAAAAGGTTGCTGACCCCTAGGTTATGTGAACCATGTTAGGATGTTAGAGGCAAAGCTCTGTGAGGAAGAGAAGCAGAGCTTGTTGCTATCTCTCTCTCCTCCCCTTTCCTTTTTTTTTGGCTGGGTTTCTACATCTGCCATCTTTTTGGCAGGCATAAATTCCGCACGTGGGGAGCATTTCCTTTCAATATTGCTGTTGGATTGTTTGCAGTTACTGAGAGCCTCCATGAGCGATGGATTGCTTTGGAGTCATTTCTGCACCAGGTAAAGTAGTTTTTAGTTCCCCAATTCCCACCCCACCACTTAGTTTGCCCGACCAAATGTGGCAACCCTAGGCCCAGCACAGGCCTTGCAGTGTTGCTCCAAAGAAAGTTGAAAGGAAGGCTGTAATTCTATTTCCTATCAGAGAGGCTCTTGACTCCCCAGTCCAGCCTCCTTCAGACCTTGGTGGTCTGTGGGGCAATGTAGAGGCCTTGCACTCTGTTGCTCCAAGGAAAGTGGGGGGTGTCAGTTGCTCTGTCTGTTTCTTAGCCCCTCTTGCTCTCAGCTGGAGTCTGCATCACAAAGCAGGGCAGGCTTCAGAAGCTTGCATTGTGATTGGCTGCCTGGCGCAAAGTAGCCAATCCTGCACTAGGTGGGTGTTGCCAGGAGGTGCCAGAACCGTATATAAAGCAGACCCTGCGCCCTGTTTCCCCAGTTGTTTAACGTGGTTGCAGCTGAGCCCCTCGTGTGAGCCTGTGCATTTGCCAGGGGCTGCCTGCTGCCTGTGGGAACAAGAGAAGCCTCCCAGGGGGATCTGAGAGCGGCTTGAGCCCCACAGCCCCCCTTGATGTTGGGCACAAAGGGCTACAAGGTCAGTTGCTGCATCCCTGTCCAAGTACAGCTGTGGGTTGTGATAGGAATTTTGAGGTCTTAAAAGGTAAAGGGACCCCTGACCATTAGGTCCAGTCGTGGCCGACTCTGGGGTTGCGGCGCTCATCTCGCTTTATTGGCCGAGGGAGCCGGCGTTTGTCTGAAGACAGCTTGCCGGGTCATGTGGCCAGCATAACTAAGCCGCTTCTGGTGAACTAGAGCAGCGCACGGAAACGGTGTTTACCTTCCCGCCGGAGTGGTACCTATTTATCTACTTGTACTTTGACGTGCTTTTGAACTGCTAGGTTGGCAGGAGCAGGGACCGAGCGACGGGAGCTCACCCCATCGCGGGGATTCGGACCGCCGACCTTCTGATCTACTTTATTTACATATAAACACACACGGAGCACTGCAACATGGCTCCCTCTCTCTCTAGCATCAGACAGCAGAGAGAGAGAGAAAGGACAATAGTCCCACTTCACAGAACACAGTAACACAAACATCCTGTCTCCGTCACTTCCCACTCTGTGGTGTCAGAACATACAGCATCATGTGAAAGACAACAATCCCATGACTGCAATCATGGAGCAGGAATTCTAAGAATAATATGCCTCACCCAAAGAGCGCTTTTTAAAAAAAGAAAGGAAGAAAGAATACCAAATAATTTCATAGAACTTTGCACACTTATATAGGGTAAAGTCATCCTAACTGGAGTGGTACTTCTTGATAGTATGCTTCTGAATTTCAGCGGCTGGAAATTGCAGGAGGGGAGCTTGGCTACTGTGAGAACAGGCATCCTGGACTAGGTGGGTCCCTGGCTTGGTGCAACAGGGTTTTTAAAGTTATTTTGTATATGGTGCAACTCAGGAATAGGTGAAGTCCCATTGATTCTTGGGGGAGTAAGGCAGGACTGGGCCTTCGTAGAATGTGATATTTAAAGATGATGTATTACATTTTTACCAAGTAACTGGTTCTAAAAAAACAATATCCAAATAATCAGCTTAATCAAAAGAATCCGTTGAGAGCCTGTTTGGCAGAAAAGTATGGTGAAAATGAAAAAAATCTGTCAGTAGTTTGTTGTTCAACTCTTGAAGCACATTTACTTTCGTGGGAATAAACTACCTCCCGGCTCCCCCCCTCAAAAAAACCCCCAAACAGCAACCATAGGTATCAGGGCTGAAATAAGTGCTGGAAATCATGATGACCTCTGAACTTGAAAATTTTGCTCTCCTTTCCTCTTGATCACTAGTGTTAGTGACCAAAAATATATATGCACATACCTAAAGGAATTTCTTCTATTTCACGTTGTTGTTGTACTCATCATCCTTAATTACACACCCTTTACCAACATGTCCCAGATTGGGTTACAATTCAAAATTCAAAATTTAAAACAGTTAAAACAGTTAACAATCAAAGGAATAGAGGGGCCCCTGAAAACACACATCTCAAAGGTGGAGAGGTTCATCTCCATCTTTTGCCAAAAGCTGAACAGTGAAGAAGCCAAACACATAACAGTGAGGACGGAATTCCAAAGTTTAGGGAGGGGATTCAACAGAGAATACAATCTTCTGGGCCACACCCCCCCCCAATTCTGAGGGCTGTGAAACTCCCAAGAGCTTCCCCTCTGCTGATCTTAACACCTGTGAGGGTCTGCACCTGCGAGATCTTTCAGCTATGTGAGGCTTAAGTAATTTAGGGCTTAAAACACTAAAGTGAGTAATATAAAGTGAGTACAGTGGTACCTCAGGTTAAGTACTTCATTCGTTCCGGAGGTCCGTACTTAACCTGAAACTGTACTTAACCTGAAGCACCACTTTAGCTAATGGGGCCTCCTGCTGCCGCCGTGCCGCCGGAGCACAATTTCTGTTCTCATCCTGAAGCAAAGTTCTTAACCTGAAGCACTATTTCTGGTTTAGCGGAGTCTGTAACCTGAAGCGTATGTAACCTGAAGCGTATGTAACCCGAGGTACCACTGTGCTATAAAATGCAGCTCTTATATGAAGGCCTGGAAAAAAATGGGAAAAATTGGAGGAAAAACAGGTTTTCCCCCATTTCCCCCCAAGGCAGTTTTTTAGAAGCCCATGAGAAAAAATGACAAAAAGGAAGAGGAAGAGAAAATGGAAAATGATAGCAGTAGTTCAGAAAATGAGATAGAATAAACTGCATGTACAGTCATAACTCATGTTTCATCCGCTTCATGTTACGTTCTTTCAGGTTATGTCCCGTGGCGACCCGGAACTACCGGAAAGGTTTACTTCCGGGTTTTGCCGCTCGCGCATGCGCACATGCGCAAAATGACGTCACACGCATGTGCAGAAGCAGCGAATCGCAACCTGCACGTGTGCAGACGCGCCGCTGCGGGTTGCGCTCTTTTCATGTTGCGAACGGGCCTCCGGAACGGATCCCGTTCGCAACCAGAGGTACCACTGTATATGTTGTGTCTTCTGTTTCTTTTTTAAAAAAGCACTACTCAAAGGGTAGACCTTCTGTGGAGCTTAAATATTGAGGTCAACCTTAACTTTATTTGCTGTTGGTGTTTTTATGTTGATGGTTTCTTGGTTTTTGCTATCCTGGGCAGCCCATTTGCCACTTCAGAGCGCTCCTTCGTCTCACTGGGTCTCGCCTGGGGCTTGGGCTACACAGTGGTTTGGCAGGGCACATACCAAACTTTCTGTGGGATGGCCGCCCCTGGAGCCCTTTCCAGTGACTGCCACAGAGAAGCCCATTTATCTATTTCTTGGAGTATCATAGTATCACAGAACTGGATGGCTGGAAGGGACCCCTGAGGGCCCTCTAGTTAGACCAACCCCCTCCAGTGCAGGAATCACAGCACAAGCATCTCTCACAAAACAACTTTGCTCCATCTTCCCTGTGAACAGCCCCTCAGATACAACAGAATAACAGAACCATTTGCAGAGTTGGAAGGGAACCACCAGGGTCATCCAGTCCAACCCCCTGCAATGCAGAAATCTTTTGCCCAACATGGGGCTTGAAACCACAACCCTGAGATTAAGAGTCTCATGTTTTACTACTACTACTACTACTACTATTACTAATTTATTTGTACCCTGCCCATCTGGCTGGGTCTCCGCAGCCACTCTGGGCGGCTTCCAACAAAGATTAAAAATACATTAAAATGTCACCCATTAAAAACTTCCCTAAACAGGGCTGCCTTCAGATGTCCTCTGAATGTCAGGTAGTTGTTTATCTCTTTGACATCTGGTGGGTTTAGGGCTTAAAACATACTTTAGGCTTAAAACATACTTTAGCTTAAGGCTTAAAACATCTCTGGGGAATCTTTCCTAAAAAAGTCAACAACTTTGGGGTCCCCCCTTAAGGTCGACAACTCTGGGAAATGGGGGTGGGACGACGACGACCACCAGAGGGATCTTTGCACCACTGCACCAGATATTCTTAAGATGGCCCTGCACAGTGCAACTCAGCACCAACAAAATGTGTAAGTTGTGTTACTGAGAAAGCTGTCAAACCTTCATTTCCTCCTTGCACCGAGCTGAGAAGCACCAAAGTGCTTGCCACAGTCAACAATGACTTTTGTGGGCCAATGAATTGGGGGAAGAACAAGTATATACTAATTTTTCTTGATGATTTTGAAAGTATTGTGTAACATATTTCCTCAAGGAAAAGAGTGAAACGCTGGAAATGTTCAAGAACTACCTTGCTATGGTGAAGAACAAATTCCAGAGAGCACCAGCTATGCTAATGACTGATAATGGGAGTGAGTATCGCTCACGTGACATGCAATCTCTCCTAGAAAAGGAAGGAATTGTGCATGTAACCACTGTTCCTTACACCCCACAACAGAACTCAATAGCTGAAAGAAAGTTCAGATCCATCATGGAGATGACAAGGTGCATGTTAAAGGATGCGTTTCTACCCCAAAGCATGTGGAGAGAAGCAGTAGAAACAACTGCAGTGTATCTCCAGAACAGACTGCCAGCAAAGGGAGCTAAATGCACACCTTTTGAACTTTGGCATGGGAGAACTCCCAACCTGTCACACATTCGTGCATTTGGAAGTCTATGTTACTACCATGTTTCCAGAGAACATAAAGGTAAAGGTAAAGGGGCCCCTGACCACTAGGTCCAGTTGTGACCACCTCTGGGGTTGCGGCGCTCATCTCACTTTATTGGCCAAGGGAGCCGGCGTACAGCTTCCGGGTCATGCGGCCAGCATGACTAAGCCACTTCTGGTGAACCAGAGCAGTGCACGGAAACACCGTTTACCTTCCTGCCAGAGTGGTACCTATTTATCTACTTGCCCTTTGACGTGCTTTCGAACTGCTAGGTGGGCAGGAGCAGGGACCGAGCAACAGGAGCTCACCCCATCATGGGGATTCGAACCGCCGATTTTCTGATTGGCAAGTCCTAGGCTCTGTGGTTTAACCCACAGCGCCACCCGCGTCCCTCTCCAGAGAACATAGACCTAAGCTTAATCCCACTTCTTAATCCACTCCTTATTCTCTGGCAGGTGGAGTTGCTGCTGGAGGCCTTCTACAAGATCACCCAGGGGCCTACAGTGGAGGGCAGAAATGTGGCTGTCTGTGCTTTCTCCATCATAGCTTGCCATCACCTGGAGAAAGTGATTGAATACCTCCCACAGTGTCACGAGCCTGTCTCCAAATTTCTTCCTCTTCTTACCCTTCTTTTTTGCTGCCTCGTGGCAACAGACAGAGGTTTTGGGGGGCTCCTGCCGTGGTACCATAGCCATGAATAGGTCCTTCAAAAGGAAGAGCGATTTCTTCTCTCTGTAGCATGGCAGCAAGCAGAAGACTTGCATCTGCATTCACAGTGACTGCGAGAGAATATGGCAGGAGGTTTTTGCATCGGCCGACCAACAACAACTACTCCATCTGAGGGCCGAGCAACTGTACCAAAGCCCCTTGGCGGAATCTGCCACCACAGTGGTAAGGACAAACCGCCTGCTTTCTGGTTTCCTTCTCCCCAGCGTAATATCCAGGGGTTTCTGTATTCAGCATAAAAGCAGGGAAAGTGACTTGCACCTCTCTCTCTTCCAGCAACATCTGACCAGCCTGTTGCACGCCATCCTCAGGATGGAGGAATACAAGGCAGCTGTGCACCAGCACTTCCCACAGCTGCTGATCGCTCTCCTGGGAATGCTTATCAACTTCCCCTATGACCAGGAATTCCCCAGATGAGTAGTGCATTGCAAAGCGGCCAATAGAGTCCTTTTTCCCTTCAGCCTCTGGGGGTTTCCAGTCCAGTTGGTTTTCCAAGGGAGGCTCTCCTTCAGGCGGCTACTAGGGAGCAAGGATGGGGAATGAATTTGATTCTGTTTGCATGTCAAGGCAGATCTGCATAATTCACATTTTCTGGAAATAACAACTTCTGGGGAAGCCTCGTAAACATGGTTTTCCACTTTGGTTCTTGATGTTCTGACTTACAATAATCAAATACCAAACAGTACAGAAAACCAGGATCTTTTGATGCTATCCTGCTGAGAGCAGCTCTTTTTTCTTTTTCTTTTTTCCAGATAAGAGGTCCTGATTCCCAAAGCCTGTGGCAGTGACCCACCTGGTAATACTGGCCTTGTTTTGAATACAGAGAGGCTAAGGAACATCTGCACCACCTTCTCAGCACCACTGGAGAGAAGCTAGAGACAGCCATCATAGACCAATTTTTCTGCCCGGAGAATTTCAGCCAGGGGTTGTCTGCCATGGTGAGGTAAGAGGAAGAACACAGTGACCTTCTAATGGTCTGGCAAATGGAGCTCAAGGCATGGGATAGGAATGTGTCCCTGAAAGTGATACTGTTGGATTCCTCCCATGGTGGAAAACATCACCGCTGCTCTTAAGAACAAGGAGTTTGGCAGAATGCCACAAGCAGCTGGAGCTATCTACATCGAGGTGAGGGGGACTGACGCAGGAGGAAATGGGTGCAGCAAGGAGGCCCTGACTTGGTTTCTGCTGAGAGTTGGGCTTTGTGTTCTTCAACTCTGTCTTTCCCAGAGGGACGTGTCCTTCCACTAACAGCAGAGAGTCCCCCAAGGCCAAATTCTGCATCTCTTCTGCCACATCCATGCCATCTTTGGCTACACTGAAGACATGGTGAAGCAAAGTTTGGTCTCTGACCAATACAACCATGTTGTGGTTGTCTTACAACATAGCAGAGGCATCTTTATTGATGAGATCTCTGCGGGTGAAGGGGCTTTTGTGGTCTCCCTACACAAGGCCTTCCTGCAACATTGTTTTTGGGTGGCCCCAAGAAGCGCAGCTCCCAAGGTTCCCCATTTAAAGGCTTTCCTCCGGATGCAGACAACAGATACTCGCCCTCCCCAGTTTAGACGGCAACCCCAGTGGGGGTTCTCCAACATGCCCCCATCAGAGTTTGGACCTTGCACCTACATTTAACTTCAATATTCTGTGGCTTACGTCAAAGCTACTTAGAGCCTAAGGATTGTCTACAGTTTTGGTGTTCCTCAGAGTAGACCCATTGGACTTAATGTACATGGTGAACTTAGGTCCATTCACTTCCATGGGTTTGCTTCACACAGAACTGTGTTGGATACAACTCTCCATCTGTAGTAAGAATACAGATGGTGGATAAACCGAGAACCTGTCTAAACCTTTCATCCCTGAAGAACACACCTAGTGCAACCACATATAGGCAGCTTTTCCAGCTGCATGCAAGTTTACATGTTTCTTGTAACCCTCTGACGGTAAATACATCCAGACCAAGCAATCTCAGAATCTCTCTTGGACAGCAAAATTCTTGCAAGCTGAGCATGTGAAATAAGGGAAATATATCTATAAAGGCTCTTTTACAGTCTTGTGGACAAAAGAAATTGAGGTGTTCAGCAAAATGAGAGCTGTTTTTTTTTTAATCACTCCCTTCTTCCCTATGCTTCCATTTTAATATGTTGCACTAATGTCCCCCCCACCCCTTCATTTGATTATAGCACAGAGTTACTGATGCAGCAGCAAATTAGATTTTTCTCTTGTCCTTAATGTGCTGCAATAATGAAATCCATGACTTTCAACCTCACAGGTTGACATCACCTGTATATTGGCAGTTCAGAGCTGAAGGCTGGGAGCTCATTTGTCTTACTTGGGCTGGCTTTCTTTCCCGTGAAAAGAGCCCCCAAGGAATGATATATTTTGTGCTATCTGAGCTTCCGAGGCTGATAAAATAGTTTTAAAACTCACACACCAAAGAAGCTTTGTTCTTTTGCCTGAAATATATTTTGCTCATATTGTGTCTTAACAGACACCCTGTTTTCAGAGTCTGAGGCACCGGGGTCAGCAGCAGTCTGCATCAAAGATTTTGTAGATGTGTCCCACTTTACAGAGGGCAGTCCTCTGTCTAAGGGCACCCCTCACTTTGAAGGGCTGTGTGATCTGAATCTGGCTTTGAAGATAAAGAACCCTAAAAAGAGAGAGCAAAATAGTATGTCCTCTCTTTTTTTAGTGATGTCAAAGGATTGAATTTCTTTGTCCAATGAGCATGCTCAGTCCCTTTGCGGTAGGAGGGATTTCATCCCCTTAGGGACTTTCCTGTATATTTTTGCTACTTCTTCAGATTTGTAAATGTTTTGCTTTTGGCCTTTTCTAGTAATCAATGTGACCTGTCCTGTACCTAGACCAAATTCAAGGTTTCTAGGTGATGGGGAACTATTTTAACAGTTTGGGTACCCCGATGAGTGAGTCAAGTTGCCAGGCAACTTGTACTTATGTGAAGGATAGGTTGCAATAGTGTTAATATAAAGAGATATGAGCTATCTTTTCCTATAAACAACTATGGATTTTGCTGAAAGTATAATTATATAAACATGCTCACGGATGATTACAATTATTTAAGCATTATTGCTGCAGGTGTGCGATAGCAATTACAGAAGAGCACTTACGCTGAGATTCAGTTGTACAAATATCAGCACCTGCTTGCTTTACTGAAACAGCTTAATTAACATAATATGTTCTATATTTGATTACACCAAAGTGGAATTGTGTCCACCAAATCAAAGGCACATGTTTCTGCTTCTGAAGCATAATTGCTTAATTGTTGTTGTATATATTAATTTTTTCATAATGTTCCTTGCCTGAAAGTCCTTGACTTCAATGCTGCTTTCAGCTCAAGGAGTTCGGCTCCCTTTCTGTTTCCATTTTAGCAATATGGTTAGTCAGAATTCCAAGGGAATTGGTACCTGCAGGGGACTTGAACTGAAAACCTCTGGGTCTTCGGTTGATACATAAACTAATGTGTATTCAAGACCCAGGGCTCTTCTCAAACACACAAGGGAACGGGGAGGAACAATCACTGGGACTGGCAGGTGGTATGTCAGGGACTGTCAAGGTTCTGAAGGGTGTGTGGTGGACTTGCTGGGAACCAGGGGAGCAACCCAAGAGAGGGGACCAGTGCTTTATGGGATGTCACACCACCCACGAGGCAGGAGCCCGGGGAAGCTGCTGTTTTTCATCTACCACATGCAGCTGCTGTTTCTCATCTACCACATGCAATAGACTGAAGAGCCTGCAAGCAAAATAATACTTTGCCAACCTCCTGGAATCTCAGCATGTGGTTTCCCATCCAATGTGAAACCATACCAAACCCTCCTTAGCTAGCAGTTTTATGGGGATCACCCCCCGCATACTTCAATCTGCAGGAACGGATGGATGTTGCCCTTTGTATTTATTTCATGGTCAAAGCCCTCCATAGCCACCGTCTGCATGTGTGTGTATTCTTCGTTGCATGCATTTTTCTGTAATTTCTATTATCTGCATGCAACATTAATCCTGCCACAATGTATGAGAAATGCTTTGAACATTTGAATTGTGCCAAATGCCATCTTTAGCCCAGTTCAAAACCTACAGCTCTGAAAGCTTGGCCAGTTTTATGTTGCAAATGGGAGACACTGGCTGGCAGAGGGCCGGGAGACAATGATTTCCCCTAACGCCACTCAGAGAGTTTGCAGATCAGCTGACATTTGAACTACGGGTTTCATGGTCTGCAGCTAATACTTTTGACCTACTGTGCAAGCTTTCAACATGTCTAGCAATCTGGCTGCGCCCATAGCTAAATGTCAGCATGGCCAGACAAGGCAAATCTGTAACTGCTGGAAAGAAGCGACACTCCCCAGTCCCTAGATTGGGGATAGGCAATGTGGTGCCCTCCAGTTGGACTACAACTCTCATCAGCCCTAGTCAGCCTGGGAGATGTAGTCCAATGACACTACCTGGCCTAGATTGAGCGTGCTTTAATGATTTGTGGTAAGACTTACAGCAAGATGCAGAAATAACAACAATCCTGTTTAGAGGAATCTCCATGCAACCCTTAACGACGTCTGGTTTAGCTTGAATGTGACTGTTAGAGGCAGAATTAACAGAATGTTTTCAAAACATCCAAGCTTAATATTCATCTTCTCATTAAAGCTGAAGTGGTAGTGGGCAGTGGAGCTCTCAAGGAATATAGCAGAGACTCTCATGTAATTAAAGCAATTACTTCACTTTGGCATATCTGGAAAGTTGCCATTCCCTGTGTTTAATAACGAAGGGACGTAGTTTGACAAGATCTATGCCTCTATGTACCATAAAACAAACTGCTGAGCTGTCTATTACTCGGGCAACACAAACCTATTTTTCATTCTGTTTTGTCAGGTCTAATTTCTCCCAGGAGCCCAGATTGCATTAGTACTCATCAGACTTAGGAGGAAGGGATATTTTTATTATTTTAAAGTTGATCCATTGATTTCTTTTTCTCTCTGCCTCTCTCCGCTGATTAAAAAAACACTCCCCCAGAAACCATTCCATGGCTTCTTTAAATAATATATTCCAGAACAAGCCATGTGTGGAAGTAATTGACAGGAAATACGAAATGCTCGTTTATTTCATATGATTTGGAATGTTTAAAAAAATGAAATGGCAGAACTCTCCTTCCTTGGAGGTTTTTAAGCAGAGGTTGGATAGCCACCTGTCATGGATGCTTTAGTTGAGTTTCCAGGGGGTCGGTCTAGATGACCCTCAGGATCCCTTCCAATTCTAGGATTCTTGTTTCTGCTCTCTGCAAGCACTGCTTGAACTGTTGCACAAAACCAATATAACCAGAGGCTGGACAAAGGAGCATGTTCTGTTGCAAATGATAGCTCCACAGTGCCACCTTCAAGACTTTGAAAAGGCTTATCGGCAACAATGCTTCATTCCCTGTGTGGAGGCCACTGAGCAGATGTTCCAGCTGTGCCTGACTGAAACATGCAGCATCCCATGGTGGGGACTGGGCGGGTACAATCCTGATTTCTTCACTCGGACAGCAGGGTGCAGCGGCTGTGTGTGACAATGAATGAAAGAGGCTGGGCCATCCTACTTCCCCGTCTCCTCACAACACCCTCCACCCCCATCTATCAGCCAGCAACAGTGACATCTAAAACAGGAACATCTAAAATAGGCTGTTGAATTAGGTGATGCCCTGAACCAGCACATTCTATGATGGATCCTACGGTCATCTATCATAATAAAGTCAATGCAAAAGAGACCAGATAAGCCCCCTTTCCAGCAAAGCAATATAACCTCTCTGCCAAATACTGTCTTGCATCATGACCTTGGCAAGCTGGAAGAAAATGCACTTCGTGTGATTTACACGGTTCACCAATTCCTTTGTTCTTCCTCCAGATTAGCTATTTTAAAAATCACTTGCGGTTTGCACCCGCTCACAAAAACTTCATTAATCACTGCAGCAGAGGCAGTATTTATTTATTTATTTTTTAAAAAGTATGCTACTGTTTTAGGGAACCAAATATAATTAGCTGTTTTGTGATTCATTCAAACTGGCAGCCTTAATTAGCATAATTGATAGGCTGATTAATGAATAAATCATGGATTTAAAACGGGATTTTTAATCAGTGCTGTCCCTTCGAAGAGGGTGTTTCTGTGCCAATCATAATATTCTAAATTATTTGTGTGCACTTCTGTTTCACCGAACGTGTCAGAGACGATTTGGCAGTAGCTTTCGTAAGGCAGGTATCTTCAATTACCCATAAAGCATATCCTGAAATGAGATACTATATTTATTTAGTTAATGCAGTACTGTTGATTCAAAAAGAAGAAGAAAATTATCTGATTGCCGTATTGCTCAGAGTCCTGCTTGCTCAGAGTCCTGCATGGAGTGAGTCAGTTGTTCTGAACGACAATTCTATATTTTTAGATCTCAAATGTTAACTCTCTCCTGGATAGTATATGACTGAGCAGTCACAGATAGTGACCATGCCAGCTTCTGCTCTGGGATAAATTTTAACTGCATAATTATTGGCTTGGTGCAAGCGCATTCTTTCTCATCTGGTTTTGGTGTGATGACTATTGGTCCCATCACTGCTTCCCTCCACCCATGCCTCCTGAATAACTGGGGCTGCAGAGTTATTAATGTTCTAATAGGTTAGCAGGAAGGCCACATAACATGGATGCCAGAAAATTCAGACAGAAACAGGAGTAGAACCGCCTGTGTTTGCTGAGAGCCACTGTGGTGTAGTGGTTGAGAGCGGTAGACTCATAATCTGGTGAACCGGGTTCGTGTCCCTGCTCCTCCACATACAGCTGCTGGGTGACCTTGGGCTAGTCACACTTCTCTGAAGTCTCTCAGCCCCACTCACCTCACAGAGTGTTTGTTGTGGGGGAAGAAGGGAAAGGAGAATGTTAGCTGCTTTGAGACTCCTTAAAGGTAAAGGTAAAGGGACCCCTGACCATCAGGTCCAGTCGTGACCGACTCTGGGGTTGTGGCACTCATCTCACTTTATTGGCCGAGGGAGCCGGCGTACAGCTTCCGGGTCATGTGGCCAGCACGACTAAGCCGCTTCTGGCGAACCAGAGCAGCGCACGGAAACACCGTTTACCTTCCCGCCAGAGAGGTGCCTATTTATCTACTTGCACTTAGACATGCTTTCAAACTGATAGGTTTGCAGGAGCAGGGACCGAGCAACGGGAGCTCACCCCGTCACGGGGATTCGAAACGCTGACCTTCTGATCAGCAAGTCCTAGGCTCTGTGGTTTAACCCACAGCATTACCCGCGTCCATTGAGACTCCTTAGGGTAGTGATAAAGCAGGATATCAAATCCAAACTCTTCTTCTTCTTCTATTTGTTCCATGTCCAGAAATCAACCCAGCAAATACGGCTGGTGTTTGCTACTGCTGCTGCTTTTGGCCCACTAACGATACGCAATGTCTCCTCCATTTGCATGGCATTTATTTTGCACTGTGGACTAACATAATCACAATGCCATAATTTAATTAATTACAAAAGAATTATGCACCTTGGGGCACCTTAGACTTGAAACTGAGATTGATTCAGCAAAAAAATAACATTTCAGTATATTGGACTCCACAATGTTTCTATAGGAAGATATTGGAGGTGTAATGTTGAGAATGCCTTTTTGAGGCACGATATGGACTTATCAGTCCTTTGAGTCTAAAATTGTTAGTAACATATATTTGTGTTATTTTAAACTATATTCCTGAAGTATGCAGATCAGTGGCTGGACAATGAAAGTGGATTTTGCAAGCCACTATGGTGGCTAAGATACCTACACTTTAGGATAACTGCCCATTGTTTATTTTGCAATGGTTTGAGGACCTCACTGCCCTGGGTACATTCAAATGTGTTTTGTATTGTATAGACATTGGTTTTGTGTTGACACCTATTTTGACATCTGCATGGCTTAAAGATCCATGTACTAATAATGGTCCCTATATCCACTGACGCGGGTGGCGCTGTGGGTTAAACCACAGAGCCTAGGGCTTGCCGATCAGAAGGTCGGCGGTTCGAATCCCCGCGATGGGGTGAGCTCCCGTTGTTTGGTCCCTGCCCCTGCCAACCCAGCAGTTCGAAAGCACGTCAAAGTGCAAGTAGATAAATAGGTACCGCTCCGGCGGGAAGGTAAACGGCGTTTCCGTGTGCTGCTCTGGTTCGCCAGAAGCAGCTTAGTCATGCTGGCCACATGACCCGGAAGCTGTCTGCAGACAAACGCCGGCTCCCTTGGCCCATAGAGCGAGATGAGTGCGCAACCCCAGAGTCGGTCACGATTGGATCTAATTGTCAGGGGTCCCTTTACCTTTACCTTTATCCACTGACGGTGGTTTGTTGTTGTTGCTGACATCTGTCGGTCTTGGGAGACATGGAAGATTGTAAAGGTAAAGTCAAACCGTTGGAAAGTTACAGTGCTTGCTGTGGCTGTAGAGACTGATACAGGAGAGACATGTTTTGTTGCAGCTGGGGCAGATGAAGGTGTCCATTTGTGCTGCTGCAGATGCACCATGGCGTTTCTTCTCTCTGTGTTCCTCCCAGCCATTCCTTCTCTGGTCACTCTGTGGGTACACAACCTGAGTTTTCTGTCTGCAGGCACTGCGATTGTCTGCGAGGGATTCCTATACGGCAGGGATAATGTTGTCATGTTTGCAGACACTTTGTAATGCAAAGTTGGTCTGTCAACAGGTCTGCTGCTGGAAGCCAGCTGCCCATATGGAGCTCATCCTTGGGGATTCTGTCATCTTCCATTCTGTGTACATGACCAAGCCAGAGAGCGCCACAGGTGGTGAAATGTGACAGGCTGCCTTCGTGTCTGCTGGTTTGCAGTCAAGCTGTCCATAGGGTTGGGACAATCTCTTCAGTTAGGGGCTGGGAAATCAGTTGCTGAAGTGGTCACTTCAGGAAAACGTCATTGCCATGTTCCTTCCCTTCCTTTTAATACAAGGACCTGCCACGGCTATGACTTGGCACACACTTCTGTACTTGTACTAAATGTGTTGACAATGCACTTGATAAGCTAGTGAGAGATATTATAATCGAGGGACTCAGGTATTTACCTTCCCAGTGAAGAAGGCATGGAAAGTCGGTTTGAATAAAGAGGGACAGGGTTGCCATTTCCTTCACGAATGCTTGCATTGAACAAGGAGCACAAGTTGGGTTGACAACCCAACACCGGTGTGTATTTCCAGTCTCCAATACAATCATTTCTCTTCAGGGTTCTAGCCAGCCTGGAAGAGGAGGCATCTCATTGCAAGAATAAATTCAGGAGAGGGAAAAGGACATCTTTTCCTCGTCCCTCTGCTCCACAGACTTCCCCTGATTCCCCCTCTTTTGAGGGCTTCTGAACCTTTCCTACTGTATTTTTGGAAAGTTATTTGCCTGTCTGCTTTGCATTTGGACACTTCTTACGATATTGTAACCAAATTTTGCACGATGGTTCCTGAGATCAAGGAGTAGGTTTTCATCTGTTTGGATTCAATTGGATGCCATTTTGAATCAAGATGGCCGACTGAACGTTTCAATATGGCACTGATTTTAACCAGTGATGTCAAAACATCTGTGATTTTCCATTTCTTAGAATCCCTGAGCAAAGGTGCACGAGACTGTATGTTTGTACATGTTCCAAAACGTGGGAAATTTTCCTGGATCTGAAAGACAGAGAAGGGAGTTTCCATTTATTTTGTCTGTTAATCTCATAGCATTCATCCCCTCAACCCTAAGTCCCACCTGCAGGATAATATAGGGGACTTAGGCAGGTGAGTTCTCTTTCTCCCTCCCTTTGTCCCCATCCCAAAATCTAATACTCTGGGTCTCATAGAAACATACAGTCGACCTGACATCTGGTTTCTTTCGACCACTTTTGTCTTCTTGGGGGCCCATAGATATCAAAAAATTTAGCCTGTCCGTGACTGGGCAACAGTCTCTCTCTGTGTGTCTCCCTCGCTCCCTCTCCTCCATTAAAAGGTAGCAGCAAAGTGTTCAGTTTTAACCTGGAAGTTTAGTCTCCGAACAATGAGGTAAGTTACTCTTGAGCAGGCATAGGCAAACTTGGCCCTCCAGATGTTTAGGGACTACAACTCCCATCATCCCTAGCTAACAGGACCAGTGGTCAGGGATGATGGGAATTGTAGTCTCAAAACATCTGGAGGGCCGTGTTTGCCTATGCCTGCTCTTGAGTATCTTACCTCACCTGCTGTCAGTGTTTAAGCACCACTTTTGGGAAACTAGGGCAGACTTGCAACACAACCCCTTTCTCCACACACCCCACAATCACATCCCATTCAAATAGTCTCATGAATCATAAAAGAAAACATTCTGTTTTAATTATGAAATTGCATTCTTCCATACTGTTCCAGTTATACTACGGACTGCACTGGGCTCTTCTACAATGTCCCATGCTGCTGCAGCAGCCGCCAAGTCCTTTTTGGTTATTTTTGTTTAACCGAAGCCACAACCTGAGCGAAATAATAATTTAATAATAATAACCATTTATTATTTATACTCCGCCCTAAAAAATTTACTATTTGTAATATTTGTAATAGAAGTATATACAAGGGAAATGTTTTTATTCTTTTAATTCTACAGGTGCTTTTTTGAGGAGGGATGGCTCCATTATCACTTTCAGCTGGGGTGGCTACAGGTCCTACTTTGCAGAGGATGGTTGTCTGTTTGAAGTATTGACAGATGGCAGTGCCCACCCTGCTCCCAAATGGTAGGCACTCAGCCATCTGAGCTTGCTGTTAGAGGGAATTAGCATTATATCAAAAAGCGCCCTGATTGTGACACTATGTGTAATCAAACATTCAAGTTGTGAAAATTGCTCTGCAGGCTATTCCTTATTGCGTTTTTTTTAAATAAAAAAATGATTTTCTCTATGATGAAATGTGAAGGGAAACTTATTTTAGTTATTTGAGAAATCTTACGCACCCTCACCTGCTTGCTTTCAAGCTTGTTGGTGTAATAAATGGTTTTCTGTGTCAATCCATAATAAACTTCAACGTTTTAAATTACTGTTTGGATTTACTTGGTAGATTTTTGTGAGTCATAACAAACCGAGGACGCTGATGAAATGCCACAGGAAGCCACTCATAAGATAAATGGGAAAACTCTCATAACCTTGACAGTGAAATGCCAGCTGTCACGACCAGAATCATTAAAAGATATCAGTCGTATTGCAAACCCACCTTCCGTTCTCTGATTAAAATCTGTCACCCGCACTGCCTCTTTGTAAAATAATGACAGAAGGGAGCCCCAGCACACAATTTGTTGTTCTAATATTGACAGAATGCATGTGCCTGGAATGGCTTGCCTCTTGCACGAAACCCATGGTGGGAAGAGGATGTCTCTCTATGGGTTCTGTGTTGTGAGATGCACACATTTCCCCATTCAGAATTCAGCAGCTCAGGTCATGGGCATAGCCAAGGGGTGGGGTGGGGGTGGGGGTGGGCAGCTGCCCCATCGATCAAGTAACACAATAGAAATGCTTAACTAACTGACCAATCACGTTGGTTCTGCCCCCCTAACAAAAGTCCTATTATTACTTATATATAAACAACTCTCCTGGGATGCGGGTGGCACTGTGGGTTAAACCACAGAGCCTAGGACTTGCCAATCAGAAGGTCGGCGGTTTGAACCCCCCGCGACGGGGTGAGCTCCCGTTGCTCGGTCCCTGCTCCTGCCAACCTAGCAGTTTGAAAGCACATCAAAGTGCAAGTAGATAAATAGGTACTGCTCCAGCGGGAAGGTAAACGGCGTTTCCATGTGCTGCTCTGGTTCACCAGAAGCGACTTAGTCATGCTGGCCACATGACCCGGAAGCTGTACGCCGGCTCCCTCGGCCAGTAAAGGGAGATGAGTGCCGCAACCCCAGAGTTGGCCACGACTGGACCTAATGGTCAGGGGTCCCTTTACCTTTATCTTTATAAACAACTCTGGACCAGGTTACCAAAAAAACACATTTCCCCTCCATTGCCCATTAAGGGCATAAAGATAAATAAACCGACTCTGTTTCTCTAATTTTAGCAATAGCCCACACAGGTCTTCTGACAACTCTCAGCCCATGCTGATACCTAAAAGGCCTTTGCTACGCCTACAGTGGGCCACCTACCCTAGGAGGGCTCAGCCTTGCTCGACTTCCTTTATTCCCACAAAAGGTTTCCTATTAAAAAAATGATTCTTCCATGTCACATAGTTGACAGCCCTCTTCTGAAAGATGAAGCTGACTGCGTCTGGTCATGGAGATGCAATGTCCTGGAGACAGTTCACTAATGCAGTAAAAATGCATGACCCCTTTGCTAGTGCTCCACTGTCTTTTTGTAGCATACTGACTACCCCCCACTCCACCTCCCGTGACTCGCTCCTGGAAAATGGCCCATCCCTGTGAAATACCTTGGAGTGCTACTTTCCTCTTTATCACTGTTTAGCCTTTCAAGACACAACTTTTTTGAAGATGTTATTCGTTTCAATCGCATTGAGCTGCATTTAACACACTCAGGGATGGCAGGTTATAAATGCCTAAATTTGGTTTCCCAAATTGTCACTATCCAGGCATTGACAAGATCCAGGCCTGCTTAGCTTCAGCAAGGCGGTGGCCTAATATGCTTTCCTACCATACCCCGGGACCTTTGTAAATAATATAAATCCAGCACTGTCTCTTTGGAGTCATAAGCTAACAAAGAATTCCACATGTTTGAGAATTCTGATGAAACAGAAGCAGGAGCAGAAAATGCTGATGTCTGCTTATTTGCCCTATATCTGGAATGGAAATCAATCTAGCAAATATAATTGGCAATTGCTGTTGTTGTTTTCAGTCCACAAGCTACACATAACTGATGACTCCCTCGCTCCATTTGCATTGCGTTTCCTTTGAAATTGAAATGAATGGTGTGGAACAGGGGTCGGCAAGGTTTACCTCACCTGGGCTGGTTCACTCCAGCAGAGATCCCTCTGTGGGCTAGATTGCGCGCACGCATAAGCGCATGCGCCTGTGATTTTCGACGTCTCTGCATGCGCAGACGCAATTTCCGGCGCCGCAGAAGCGAGTCCTCATACCACACTGCACCGGTTTAGCACAGCACGCGGGGACTTGCCGAGCAGGCGGCTCAGTTTGGGGGCGGCTCATGGGCCGGTTAAATGACCCCCGTGGGCCACTTGTGGCCCATGGGCCTTAGGTTGCCTACTCCTGGTGTGGAATGTTGTAATGATAGTAAAATTCCACCACAGCGGACAGCGAGCTGAATAATGTAGTTTTTGTCTGAAGCCGAGCTGCAGCAGAACAGAAAAGCTCTGCATGTGACAACATGGGTGAGAATGGAAATAGATGCCTTCTTCCATTTCTGGAAGGTCTATTTTCTTCAGCCAAAATTTATCTCCTTGTAGCCCCTTCTTCCCATCCTATTCCCAGGACTCAAGCCCACAACATATCTTGAACATATGCCTTGGGATGTCAGGCAACGATTCAGCTGGAATGAGGGAATGGCAGTGAGATCAGTCAGGATAGCAGGTCTGGTGATATTCCCTGGCCTTTGCCAGAGTTTTCAGATCAGTCTTCTTTGCTTGTCTGAGCACAAAGGAGAGCTGTTCCTGCTGTCCTATTGCACAGGAGCAAGGTCTTGGAGCGAAAGGAGTGAACAAATACTCCTTGTCCTTCAGCTATCTGTCAGTATGCCCCCACCTGCTTTAATCTTCTCTTATCTAAGCTAATCACAGACACACTTCCTTCAGCCTCTTTGGCAGGATTTGCCTTTTAGACTCTTTATCATGTGCCATTAAGTTTGCTAACTGGAAAAAAAAAACCCACACCACTCTGCTGGGTTGTTTGGGTACATCTGACTCCTGGAATGGAGATGGAAAAGCTGGTTTAGCTGGTCTGCCTGTGGACATTTTTTTTAAAAAATGTATTGCTTTTGGACTTTTATGCATACACAAATACTGAGCATGGAGATGGGGTGGGTGGGCTGAAAAGTTGTGTGCATGGCACCAACCCAACTGCAATTGAAAATGGTGGCTGCACAGGCCCCAGCCTCTCCTCCAGCTATGGACATGATAGCAAGCACTGGTCCTGTTATGTACTGAAGTTCTCACCCTGGGCCAGCGGGGGGATACTGTAGATAGTTCAGGTCCACATATGCAGATAAGGGATCGAAAGTGACGTTCAGTGATTGGATAGTTACAGAAAATGGTTACTGTTGCGTTCTAGTGGAGCTCTATATAAGCAGGCTGGCTGAACCCGTCAGTTCAGTTCTGTTCTGGCCTGTGAGCTGTTTGAAGAATCGCTGTGTCGTCTGATATGTTCACCCACAACTTAACAGGTCCCATCCCAGCTGAGGAATCCTGGTAGTCCAATGATCATTTCTTCCAGATGCAAATGGGTGGCGATTGTGCCCTAAGACTTGTGGTGGAGAAAGAAGATGAACTGGCAAAGGAGTGTATTTCATTACGGTTTTCACTATAAAATGCATAATGTGATTTTACTTGCAGTCTGAGCTAAGTTGGCTCCCTTTCATTGATGTGCTCTGCATTAATTTGAATGTTTCTCCCCAGGAAGACAATCAGTGAGCCAACTTAGCACATTCAACTTCAGTTTTCCCCATCTATAAAATTGGTTGATGTTTCCAAGCGTATCCTCTAGCTTCAAAATTCCTTAAATGATATGCTTCCTAATGTCATGTTATGCATCAGAAAGGTGAAGAATTACCGTATTTTTTGCTCTATAAGACTCACTTTTTCCCTCCTAAAAAGTAATGGGAAATGTGTGTGCGTCTTATGGAGCGAATGCAGGCTGCGCAGCTATCCCAGAAGCCAGAAGAGCAAGAGGGATTGCTGCTTTCACTGCGCAGCGATCCCTCTTGCTGTTCTGGCTTCTGCAATTCAGAATATTTTTTTTTCTTGTTTTCCTCCTCCAAAAATTAGGTGCGTCTTGTGGTCTGGTGCGTCTTATAGAGCGAAAAATACGGTAGCTTAGTAGTCGCATGGGGTGGGAAAGGAATGCTTTAGGGGGTTGTTATGTGGGGAGTGGTAGGTGGGCAGAGTGAGCAGGGGCACAGCCCCATGTATTATAAAACAAAATGATCAGAATATGGCCTTTGACTTTAATTGGCCATTAGCCCCATGCGACAAATGGCTTATTGGATGAGAGTTTGTTATTCTGTTTCTCTTTCCAGCAGTGCAGGGGACATTGATGATTGCATTACAGATGTCCTCTTGGATATTGGCCATCTCTTAAAAAAACAAACCCAAATGCATGTGGAGAGATTGATCGTGGCAGGCTGACCTTCAAGCACCCGCTGTTCTGCATGACACCTTTTCTTCAAATGTCATTCCCTGTAATAGCAAACTCAAGTGGTGAGTGCCGAGAAGACTGGTGTCCAAACTCAGCATGAGAAGTGTAGGTGGGTTCCCACAAGGCAAGACACAGTGATAACAGCAAGAACCTTTATTGAACTACATAACTGGGTAACAGGGGCAAAGCAACTGCTTATATATATTTCTGAAAGTCTGGGCCACTCCCACTCCCAACTTGATTGGCTGTCTAAACTTCCAAGCTGCGAATCACGACTCAGAGTTCAAGGGCCAATGGCAGAGGCCCAAATCCTGAAATGTTCTGTGATTGGACATCATGTATCGAATCAGAACACAGGAGCTCAGGCAAACACAGACCACTGAATGCATAACAGCATGCATGGGAGGAAACCCTGAGGTTTGCAAGAGTGCTAAGGAATCTCGCAGGGTGGGGTGGGGGGAACTCTGAGGGCAAAACAACCACAACCATACCCCAGTACAGTTGTACCTCAGGTTACAGACGCTTCAGGTTACAGACTCCGCTAACCCAGAAATAGTACCTCGGGTTAAGAACTTTGCTTCAGGATGAGAACAGAAATCGTGTGGCAGTGGCACGGTGGCAGCGGGAGGCCCCATTAGCTAAAGTGGTACCTTAGGTTAAGAACAGTTTCAGGTTAAGAACAGACCTCCAGAACGAATTAAGTTCTTAACCCGAGGTACCACTGTACAGCACAATGAGAAGTGTCTATGCACAGTAACATTTGAATGTTGAGCATTGGTTGTAGGAGAATATAAGTTTGGAGTAAGGGTGAAATGCTTGAATAATAATAATAATAATAATAATAATAATAATTTATTATTTATACCCCACCCATCTGGCTGGGCCCCCCCCAGCCACTCTGGGCAGCTTCCAACAAAACACTAAAATACAATAATCTATTAAACATTAAAAGCTTCTCTAAACAGGGCTGCCTTCAGATGTCGTCTAAAAGTCTGGTAGTTATTTTTCTGTTTGACATCTGGTGGGAGGGCGTTCCACAGGGCGGGCGCCACTACCGAGAAGGCCCTCTGCCTGGTTCCCTGTAACTTGGCTTCTCGCAGTGAGGGAACCGCCAGAAGGCCCTCGGCACTGGACCTCAGTGCCCGGGCAGAACGATGGAGGTGAACTTGAGCTCCTTCCTGCTTAAAGTTTTCTGTAGGAGGGCATAGTTGTCTGGCAGAAACTCTAAGAGCACCTATGTCAAAGTTTTGTTACAGACCCCACTCAGACATTTTTCTAATATCAAACTCCTGCATGGATTGCACTTATTTTCATTACAGGATTCCATTCCCCACCATCAATTTGCAGATAAAATAACACATTTTATTGACCTTACTAACCTCCCCTTCATGGATCACTGCCTTGCCATGGCGAAGGGGCTTGAATAACTCAGAGAAGCTATGAACTATGCCGAGCAGGGCACCCAAGATGAACAGGTCATAGTGGAGAGTTTTGACCGAACGTGATCCACCTGGAGGAGGAACCGGCAAGCCACTCCAGTATCCCTGCCAAGAAAACTCCATGGACAAAGAATGAGAGTAAAACTACGTAAAACTAAACTTTCTGTTAATGTCAGGGTTATGCTAGCTGGAAGGTGCGATTTCATCAGAACTCAGAAACAAAGCAGGGTTGGTTGCCTCTGATCTGTGTACAGGAGACCTCAAAATACACATACATGAGCACATCAGAGGCCGGTTTACTTGCTGGCATCTGTACCACTAAGGTAACTGGGGTTTCCTGTGAGCTGGAGCATTAGTGTATTGGGCAGCTTGCTAGAAGTGATGTTTTTGTAGCTTAAACTATTTTGCTGGCTTTTGGAAGTCCGCAGTGGTATCAAGTAGTTTTTTTTTGGGGGGGGGCGGTTTAGGGGGAAATGTCACTTCAGTGTTTAATTTTCAAAACTATTTAATTTTCAGGACTACTTTTATTGTAATAAGGCAAGAAGAGTCGTGTTGGATCAGCCTAAAAGCCTAGGACCCTCGTACCTACGGGACCGTTTCTCCCGGTATGCTCCACAGAGGACCTCAAGGTCCATAAATAGCAACACCCTGGAGGTCCCGGGCCCTAAGGAAGTTAGATTAGCCTCAACCAGAGCCAGGGCCTTTTCAACACTGGCTCCGGCCTGGTGGAACGCTCTGTCTCATGAGACCAGGGCCCTGCTGGATCTGATTTCTTTCCGCAGGGCCTGTAAGACAGAGTTGTTCCACCTGGCCTTTGGCTTAGAATCAATTTGATCTCTTCCCCCTCTTTCCTTTTTCATTCTCTTTCTGTGATGGAACTCCTATTTGGGGACTTCCCTGGCTTTTTTCTGGCCCATGTAGGACCAGTCTGGATAGTTGGCCTTGATGAAGACTTGACATTTTCATCCCCCAAAAAAGTTTTTGATTTGAGTTCCTACTGAAATGAGGCTGCGTTTTAATGTTTTAATGTTGCATTTTAATCTTGTTTTTAAGTTGTATTTCAATCAATTGTTTTTATACCTGTGTCAGCTGCCCTGAGCCCGGTCTTGGCTGGGGAGGGTGGGGTATAAATAAAAATATTATTATTATTATTATCTCAGCATCCTGTTTCCTGCAAGCAATGCATAAGAGCAGCAGGCATTTAGAGACATAGTGAGTGATCATGACAGCCACTTCAACTATCACAGGATCATAGAACTGGAAATGTCACCTTGTCTAACCCATAAGTGATGAAGGAACATAGCTGTCAATGTTTTCCTTTTTTTAAGGGAAATTCCTTTATTCCGAATAGGATTCCTCGCAAGAAAAGGGAAAAGTTGACAGCTATGTGAAGGAAACCCAGTACCACAGCAGTGATGCACATCCTTGATAGGTGACAATCCAGCTTCTGCTTGAAAACCTCTAATGAAGGAGAGACCATCACATCTCAAGATGAACTGTTCTACTGTTGTCCCTCCTTGTAACATATCTAAGTCCTTCAATGTTTCCACATAGACTTGATCCTTCACTCAAAGGACTAGGAGCCACTGATAGCCTCATTCTGCATGGGCTTGTCTAACAATTGTCTTTTAAAGCTATCTAGGTTGACAGCCGGGATGTGGGTGGCGCTGTGGGTTAAACCACAGAGCCTAGGACTTGCCGATCAGGAGGTCGGCGGTTTGAATCCCCGCGACAGGGTGAGCTCCCGTTGCCCGGTCCCAGCTCCTGCCAACCTAGCAGTTCGAAAGCATGTCAAAGTGCAAGTAGATCAATAGGTACCGCTCCAGCGGGAAGGTAAACGGCGTTTCCGTGCGCTGCTCTGGATTTGCCAGAAGCGGCTTAGTCCTGCTGGCCACATGACCCGGAGGCTGTACGCCGGCTCCCTCGGCCAGTAAAGCGAGATGAGTGCCGCAACCCCAGAGTCGGCCATGACTGGACCTAATGGTCAGGGGTCCCTTTACCTTTACCTAGGTTGACAGCCAAGTCTTTATGAAAGAAGACAGATCACGTGGTTTTTGGGTTTGTTTGTTTTTTTACAATAAGGGTCCAAACTACACAGTGCTCCTGGAAATACGTTGAATGTTGTTTCCCTCTGATGAGAAAAACCTTTAAAAATTATCAAAGTTAAGAAAAAGTGTCTCTCTGAACATGTGCAAAGTGCCCCATACAACACCATCTTTTCAAAAGCGCATTAACAATGTCTTTCTCTTTTTGGCAACTCCTGCATCCAAGCTGGTGCCAAATGTATTGCTCTGCTTTCCTTTGGACTACAGCAGTGAGGCTGAGAGGTGAGTCCTGTCATCTGGGCAGCCCAGGACCGCCATACACACTGCCCAGGCTTGCCCATCAGAGAGGTCGCTTTGGCACTGCTAACACAGCAAAAGCAACATGGGGGACATCAGTTGCAAGTTACTGGTCTCTGCAGTCACAGCAGGGGCTGTGATTCTCCAGAAGTTCAGTGTCATCCATGAAGGTGCACTCTCTTGAGACAAATGGACGACAACAACAATGTAGGAAAGCAATCACCTAAACATAGAACACATATATGCACAATTTCTTGGGGAAATGACATGATGTGATCCCAGGGTAAGGACCATATACAGTGGACGCTCGGGTTGTGAACGTGATCTGTGCGGGATGCATGTTCACAACCCGCAGTGTCTGCAACCCGCAGCGGCACGTCTGTGCACGCGTGGGTTTCTATTCGGCGCATCTGCACATGCACAAAGCGCAATTTAGCCTTCTGCACATGCGCGACAGCCGAAACTCGGAAGTAACCCATTCCAGTACTTCCAGGTTTCGGCGGTCCGCAACCCCAAAAAACCCAACCTGAAGCGTCTGTAACCCGAGGTATGACTGTAATTTCAGAAACACATCAGTCAGATAGATCATAGAATCATAGAATCATAGAGTTGGAAGAGACCACAAGGGCCATCGAGTCCAACCCCCTGCCAAGCAGGAAACACCATCAGAGCACTCCTGACATATGGTTGTCAAGCCTCTGCTTAAAGACCTCCAAAGAAGGAGACTCCACCACACTCCTTGGCAGCAAATTCCACTGTCAAACAGCTCTTACTGTCAGGAAGTTCTTCCTAATGTTTAGGTGGAATCTTCTTTCTTGTAGTTTGGATCCATTGCTCCGTGTCCGCTTCTCTGGAGCAGCAGAAAACAACCTTTCTCCCTCCTCTATGTGACATCCTTTTATATATTTGAACATGGCTATCATATCACCCCTTAACCTCCTCTTCTCCAGGCTAAACATGCCCAGCTCCCTTAGCCATTCCTCATAAGGCATCGTTTCCAGGCCTTTGACCATTTTGGTTGCCCTCCTCTGGACACGTTCCAGTTTGTCAGTGTCCTTCTTGAACTGTGGTGCCCAGAACTGGACACAGTACTCCAGGTGAGGTCTGACCAGAGCAGAATACAGTGGCACTATTACTTCCCTTGATCTAGATACTATACTCCTATTGATGCAGCCCAGAATTGCATTGGCTTTTTAGCTGCCGTGTCACACTGTTGGCTCATGTCAAGTTTGTGGTCAACCAAGACTCCTAGATCCTTTTCACATGTACTGCTCTCAAGCCAGGTGTCCCCCATCTTGTATTTGTGCCTCTCATTTTTTTTGCCCAAGTGCAATACTTTACATTTCTCCCTGTTAAAATTCATCTTGTTTGTTTTGGCCCAGTTCTCTAATCCGTCAAGGTCGTTTTGAAGTGTGATCCTGTCCTCTGGGGTATTAGCCACCCGTCCCAGTTTGGTGTAGATATGTTGGTTGGAATGTCTGAGCTTTAGAAATTCATCCAACTAGCACAAGTCTTCTTACTTCTTACTCTGATAGTGTACTGTTGCAACATCTATATTTTTCTGGCCTGGATTCTGAGGTTCTGAGTGATGAAGACTTGAAGCTGCTCTGTACTGAGTCAGATCATTGTTTGAGCTAGCTCAGTGACCTGATGGATAGTGGCTCACCCAAAAACCAGAGACCCTCTGCTCTGCCCTAGAGCTCTGCCCCCTTGCTCATAGCTGTTCATCTCATTTATACATCTGCTTAACACCCCTCCCAAATGTAATGTGAATATTAATTTGTCTTCATGGCCTGTTTTAAGATGTATAAACCGAAACCTTCAAAGTTGACAGAAGCACTGTCAGGCGCTTCCTCTTCATTTCTGTTGCCTTCTTCTTTCTTACTCACAGGTGTAATCAGATTAAACAAACCTTCCGGTGTGATGCATGGCTTGAAAACAACAAGGAGTTGAACAGGCTAAGGAAGTTTCCCTGCCAATTCCTTACTGCACAAGAGTTTTGAAACCAGCCTTGATCTGATATTCCCTCTCTCCTTCTGGTTTTCTTGCGAAGCCACTTAAACTCATTTCGAGCCAAGCATGATCCAGAGAAGTCTGCTGTTATAAATCACCCAGTAACTCCAGGGGGAAACTCTGCATTGCCTGCAGATAAAAAACAAAAGGAACAACAACCCGGATGCCATCTATTCATTAATGTGACCCAGCAAAGTGGTTTTCCCTCCTAAGTCTTGCATTTGCTTGCCATGGTGAAATACAGTGTGGTCTTTATTGGGAGATGGAGGGCAAATGCAAACTCGTGTTGGCGCATGAATTCACTTCTCGAAGGGGAGGTTTGTGAATATGTTCTTGACTGATGCAAGACCTGAAGCAAAAAAGCCTCTTCATTAACCTGAAAATCTTGTCAGCTCTCTGTATGCGCAACTCTCAGTCCTTTCCCCTGCTTGCTGCTCTGTGCTATAGAGGGGTATCACACAATGGGTTTTATTCCGCAGAAGAAGGAGTGGGAGCAGATAGACTTAGACAATAAATATTCATGATGAAGAGTCTGTGATGTTAAATACTGTGCTGTCAGCGGGACTAATTATTCATGGTCAGCTTTAAAAGGCAAGGAGGCTTTACAAATATTGGAGTAACATAATACAGATAGAAATCGATTTAACTCTCAGGTTATGCATTCTGAAACTGGTGACATCCTCTGTTAGCAAATATCAGGACAGCTACACTGATGACTTGGACGGAAAGGTATTGATTTACGCTAGGAACACATCTCGCTTTGCACATCATTTAAGTGTGCTGAGCCTCAAAAGATGGTTAAATGCCTCTTTGTTAGAGCCAGATCTACATATATAACAGATTAATAGGATTGAGTGACCTGCTCACCACATGAAACAGATACTTTGCCCTCTCCTTGTGGAAAAGAATTTTTCCCCCAGTTCAAAGCAAGATAATATCACATATCATGAAGGACATTTGTGTGAAGTGTCAGACTCTGCTTTGATTGAAAGAAAATGCCAGAACCAAGAGGGGCTGAAAGGTTCACCTCTACACTCCCAATCAATTATAATTTTTTCCCCCTCAAGAGGACTGAATTAGGCATTCTACTTTAAAAGATTTTAAAGGGGCACAGGCCCTGATATAATCAAGGGTGAAACTGCATATGATTATGCTATTTCCATGCATTTAAAACACAGAACTGCCCCAATCACATACAGTGGTACCCCGGGTTAAGTACTTAATTCATTCTGGAGGTCCGTTTTTAACCTGAAACTGTTCTTAACCCGAAGCACCACTTTAGCTAATGGGGCCTCCCGCTGCTGCCGCACTGCCGGAGCACGATTTCTGTTCCCATCCTGAAGCAAAGTTCTTAACCTGAAGCACTATTTCTGGGTTAGCGGAGTCTGTAACCTGAAGTGTATGTAACCTGAAGCATATGTAACCCGAGGTACCACTGTATAAAGAGAGACTGTGTGTGTGCACGCGCATGTATGTTTCTGGTTTTAACCGCAAAAAGGGGCAGGAGTGCTGAATCTTACCACTTTCCCACAGCCAACCTCCCTGCAGCCGATCTCTCCACAAGCTTTTCTTGCAACTGTTTTGGTTTTGGAGCTCCACTGAGTAGAAAAGATGGTTAAGGAGAGGCTGTAAGAAAATAATTTGCAGGCCAGAAGAGGGTTCTGTGCGCCCTTTGTTGTGGAAATCAGATGTCCTGATCCGTCCTTCTATGCAAGTAAGCAGCAACATGTCACTGAAGTGGTTTTGAAGTGAAAGTGTACCAGATCATCTACAGATCACCCAGCTTTATCAGCTGCAATGTTTCCTACATCCAAATTTTAACTCCATCCATTCCATTGTCCTTGTTCCCAGCATACCCAGTCTCCCCCCCTCAACGTAAATTAGTTGTGGTATAACATCATGCAACCCTGCTTACATTTTTGTACTTTCTGTTTAGACCGGTGGTTCTCAAACCTTTGTCTCTGGGCCACACTTTCAGAATAAAAATAATAATTGTGCCACACTGAATTTTTTATAGATAAGAAAAACATCGGCAAACACAAAGAAACAACTCCTAGCAGTGCCCTGATTTATAACATAGAACACAATTACTTTACAATATGATCATGGGACATCCAGAAGATATAAAACAATGCAGCCACATAAGAACAGAAATCATTCTCAAAATGTAATGAGAAACGATCTTCTTACATATGTAAGTATGTATACGAGCTCAATGAGAGGCGTGAGCCTGCTTGTGCTGGGTAATCTCATATCTATTAGGTCTAATTTGAGACGAACAAACTCTCATTTCCTCATTAGCACAAAGAAGCCTTTCTCTTTTCTGATCTTTCATATTTGTCAGAGTTTTTTTTTTTTTTTTTATAATATTTTTTATTGCATTTTTCCAGATAGAAATACAAGGTCAGATATACAAAGAAATAACAGAAAAGAGAAAGAAAAAGAAGAAAATCATCTTTTCAAAGCATTTTTCCATAACCAACCGGACTTCCCCGTCCCCCTCACCTTGCGTTCTTTACAATAAAATTTTTCAGCAAATTATAACCTTATTTCGTGCATTCTTTTGTTCTTTCAAATACTTGTGATTTGCGTTTAAAATGCTTATTGTCAATTTACACTAATAATATATATAATGTTCTTTTAAACGTTAGTCCTTTCATTAATATAGCTTAGTTTCCCATACCTTAATCTTATTGCTGGAGCTGAATTTCCCTAATCATGCGAATTCTTAACATTCATATAACTTATAAAATTTTTGTAAATAATCTTTAAATTTTTCCAATCCTCCTCCATTGCTTCTTCCTCCAAATCTCGGATCCTGGCAGTCATCTCGGCCAATTCCATGTAGCCCATCAATTGCGTCTGCCACTCTTCCAGTGTGGGTAAATCTTGAGTCTTCCAGTATTTTGCGATAAGAATTCTTGCTGCTGTAGTTGCATACATAAAAAGGTTCTATCCTTCTTTAACACCTTCTGACCGACAATGCCCAGTAGGAAGGCCTCTGGTTTCTTGGGAAAAGTGTACTTAAACACTTTTTTAACTCATTATAGATCATTTCCCAGAAGGCCTTCACTTTTGGGCAAGTCCACCAGAGGTGAAAGAATGTCCCTTCAGCCTCCTTACATTTCCAACATTTATTATCAGACAAATGATATATCTTAGCAAGCTTGACTGGGGCATATTTGTCAGAGTTGAAGCTGTTCTTTGAAATTCATACTTCTTCAAATTTTGTGATGCAGTTTTCCAACCAAAGTGTTAAAAATGCATGTAAGTATAAATTCTTATACTGAACATAACATTAAAATGCAATATGTTGGGGAAATTGTTTGCAGGAACGTATATATTAGGGGAAATCACCTAAAAATGCATATTTGGAGAAGTGCGCATTAAAATGCTGATGGATTTTCATGAGGACTTTTAAAAAGTCAACAGACCTGCATAATTCTTGACCTTCTCTGTGTTATCACCACATTTCCCTTTCCCCCCATTTGCTAGAATTCTACAGTTGTGTAGAATTCTATATCAGCCACCTATAAAATCCTTCTTAAGTCAAGTAAATCAGGACGTTCGAATAAAAGGTTAACGATAGTCACATTCCCGCTCTGTTTCAGCCTTCATACTTAATAGAAATTTCTTCTTGATACCTATCAAACACCACATTCATTATTTGATTTTGGCTTCATTCTTTCAGGACCATGGACAGCACAGACGTCACAAAAGGTGGAATCCACACGCATATAAAAACTGATTTGAAAATGCTTTTTTAAAAGAAAAATTCTAAAAAATACATTGAATTTCCCACAAGACTCACCATCTAGTGTCACATTGTAGATTGCACTTAAATCACACTTAAAACGTTTTGTTTGCAGCTGTATAGCTGAGTCCTAGTTTCCTTGTTCACCTCTCTTATATGAGATCTGTACACAGCAGGTATAACACTAACTCCAGTGGTGCCTCCTGATTAGGCCTGTAATTTCATCCATATTATTGTAGGTCTTCCATGCAGGAGAACCACTGTGTTTGGGGACATGGTAAGGGCAAAACCTTCCTTTCGGGCCCACATCAACAAGTGTTCCATGAAACACTTTGTTCCCCCCAAGAGGCATTATCCAAGGTCATAGGTGCCGGTTCCTGGTAGCTGAGGCACACTGTGCCCCCTCAATGTTTTTTTCCATTTTTAAGGGGGTTGAACCCCCCTCCATTGTTGAGGCCAAACGCAGGGCCAGGTGCAGAGCGACTGCAGGACGTCACGTGACACTGCATGCACGACAACAGGATGTCATATTGGGGCACCTCAATCTTCTTCAGAAGATGGTTCCTCTGTACAAGGTTATTCTTTGCTCACACACATCATAATGAGGAGCATTTTGCTGATTTCTGCTATCTGGCACGTCTGACTTCTGTAACATTTCAACGTACTCGAAAATTAACTAAGAATTAATTAATTCTTCTTCTTTCTTCTTCTTTGGATATCACTCATATCCAAGTAAGATGGGCCATGAAAACGGTCTTAACAGTGAGTCTGTAAGTGATTATGGAGGCCAATTCTGGATCCACACATTCTTCCATGGTGGGGACATAGGTTTCTGGGTGGGAGTTGATCACGGTGAGGGTTTGCCAAATGTGCCTTCCTCTTAGCTCATTTCTCCTTAGTGCCCTGAGTTCATGCTTCTTCAAAGTCCGCGACACCTTTGGTAAAGGTTGTTCTCCAGTTGGAGCACTCGCAAGGCAGTTTTCTCCAGTTAT